GCATTAATAGTATTATTAATACTATTATTATTAATAGTATTAATAGTATTATATTAATAATGTTGTTATTATTATTTTTAAAAAGTGCTATTTTTCTTAATTTAATGGAATTAAAAGTGTAGGCTGCGAATCCATCCTGCTCCACTCTGGGTACAAGAGAGAAAGTCCCCGCTGTATGATCTCAAGGGAACCCAACATTTTATCTTGCTAAGTGAGACATCGGTGAAGTCAGCTTGGCGTCCTTTTACAAACGTCCTTGCCACTGTTCTTAAGCAAATCACTGCAGTGTTTAATCCGGTTGTTAAGCGAATGCACCAGGCTTCCTTCCCTCCCCCCCCCGAAAAAAAATCGACTTCGCTTGTAACCGGGACGCTGCAACAGGCGTTAAGTACACGACAGTTGCCAAGCCTAGGACATTCTATCCAGGAGAGGCTGCAATGGCCGTTTTGTAGCTTTGAGTGGTCACTAAATGGACCGTCGTAAAGGGGGATTCCGGCAGTTGCCCCTGAGTCTCAGAGCCAAACTTGCAAAACTTCCAAAAAGGATTTATTGGGAGTTAAACATGTCAGCACTGCCTGGGTGGAGCTGACGCTGAGGCACATCATTCATTGTCACCCTGTGTCATAAATCATATTCTCCAATGGGACACCTCCATAGCCCAGAGTCCTCTCAATCAGGTTCTCCAGTTGGCTGGAGAAAATGATAAAATAGACTTAAACCAGAGAGACATTTTTATTGGGAATTTTGCCTGAGGGTTACAATAATTAGAATCAACGTTTAATCAAATGGATTAACGTATTTGATTAAGGATGTACCAACAGCAGCTAGGATTGTATTTGCACAAAATTGGGGAAAAAATGAGAAAATTCCGATGGCGAAGGAAATTATTAAGAAAATAATGGAAAGTGCAGAAAGGAGTAGACTGACAATGGCAATGAGAGAAAAAGGAAGAAAAAGATTATAAAATTTGGAATGTATTTTATGAATGGCTGGACAGAAGAGTAAGAAATTGAAATATGTAACTGCAGTATAATATATCATTACTGATAAACGGATGAGTCAGATAGAGTAAGAAAATGAATATGAAATATATCATTGAAAATCAATAATTACAATGTGTGTGTATATATGTATATATATATATATAATTTGTTTTCTGAGGTCGCGGGTATTTGTATATGGATCTTTGGTTATTCGGGTTTTCTCCCGCGTAAAATTGGAAGTATCTAGGCGACGTTTCGATGAAGTCTCATTCATCTTCAGGCTTGTGTCTTCGGCTTTGTGCTTCTCGGAGTAATGTGAGCTTGCAGCTGCTTCTTCCTTTTAACTGCTAGTGGGGGTGTGACTTGATTGGGTGAGGGCTTGGCTGTGTTCTGATTGGCTGGGGGTGTGTTCTCATTGGTTGGGGGTTTGGCTGTGTTCTAACCTGAGACTAACCTGAGCACAACCAAGCCCCCACCTGAACAGAACCACCCCCAGCCAATCAGAACACAGCCAACCCCCCAACCAATCAGAACACAGCCAAACCCCCAACCAATCAGAACACATCCCCAACCAATCAGAACACAGCCAAGCCTCCACCCAATCAAGTCTCACCTGCCATCATCAGGCTTCTGTATTGTGTTCGTCTGTGAATTACGGACGAACAGACGAACACAACACAGAAGCCTGATGATGGCAGATGAGATTCTGCCGAAACGTTGCTACAACTTTAAAAGAACAACCATAATGACGTGGGAAAATACCCGAACAAAGCTGAATGCCATACATGTAAGTACCCGCGAAAACTTAAGAAAACAAATACATACATACATACATACATATATGTGTGTTTGTGTGTGTGTGTGTGTGATATATGTGATATAAAATACTGATTAGAAGGATTAGAAACATATATAAGTAAAATACGTATGATAATGTTACTATGTGCACAAAGAGATATGTACCCAACTGACTCGCTGTTGAACGGAACGAAGGTTTTATTTGTTTGTTTTTGTTGTTGTTATAAAAATAAAAAACTTTTTATATTAAAAAAAAAAAAGAATTTTGCTCGGCAGAAACTTCGGTCCCCTAGTTACGCTCTTTGAAAAAGCTATTTGATGGAATGCGCTTTCGGTTTCCAAACTGCTGCACTGCTCCCCGCTCCCTTTCTGTGGGCAACTGTAGAAATATTTGATGAGTTGGCTGTGGGAGTCGAATGCCCTCCTGTTTGTGGACCTTCTTCCCAAAACTCTTGTGTGGGGGGAGGGTAAGAAGGGGGCCGGAATTGTTGAGGGAAGGGGGTAAGTAGGATTTTGGGGTGGGGTCTTTGATTGAAGATTTCCCTTTGCCCTGAAGGAAAGATTTGGAGGGGGGGGAATCCTGATTTTGGGGACCAAAGACTCAGCCCTTTGCAATCCCAACAGACTGCCACCCCCCTGTTTCCCCCTCCCCCCTTGGGTGCACCCCTAAAGTTGACTTGTGGGGGTGGGAGTGTGATGGGGGGGGTGAAACCAGAGGGGTGCCAGCATCAGGGGACTAAAGTCCAAAGTCACCTCGAGAAACTGGTGAAATATTAAAAAGAAAAGAGGATTCCAAATCATGGTTATAGATTAAAGATGAAATCAGGGTTAGATGAAACCATGGTTATTAAATCACGGTTATAAAGATGAAATCACGGTTATAGACTAAAGATTAGATCAGGGTTATAGATTAAAGATTAAAGCACAGTTATAGACTAAAGATTAAATCAGGGTTAGATGAAACCATGGTTATTAAATCACGGTTATAAAGATGAAATCATGGTTATAGACTAAAGATTAAATCAGGGTTATAGATTAAATATTAAATCAGGGTTATAATTAAATATTAAATCAGGGTTATAATTAAAGATTAAAGCACAGTTATAGACTAAAGATTAAATCAGGGTTATAGACTAAAGATTAAATCATGGTTATAGATGAAAGATTAAATCAGGGTTATAGACTAAAGATTAAATCATGGTTATAGATTAAAGATGAAATCACGGTTATAGATTAAAATAAAGGCCACGAGATTTATTTATTTTTTGCAAAAGTTTATTTTACTTTGTTTTAATTTATTGGACCTTTCAGTCCCAGCACCCATGCTTCCCAGCCGCTTCCCATCCTCCACTTCCCAATCGCACAGGGCACTTTGGACATGCTCAGGAACACACCAGCTCAGCCTGGACAGGGGCACAATGCCAGCCTAGCTGGTGGGGTGGGCTGGGGCTCAGTCCCCCACAAAGCCGCATCCCTTTGAGGCTAGGCCCGGCTCTGATCCACCATTTTGAAGAGCCGGTCCCCATAAAACCGAAACAGCCTCCAGCCATCTTGGAGCGTGAGGTTCTCGCCGCCGCGCCTCACCAGGTAAGACATATTTTCGGGCTTCAGGTAAGAAACATGCATGTGAAGCTCCGAACAGCCTTGTTGCCAGGCAGCCTGGAATATGGGGAGGGGGGGGGACGAAAAAAGCAATTTGCAAAGGGTCAGCGCTGCACCCCCTGCCCCACCCCCCACTTGGTTTGTCCCATCTTGGACATCGGGGTAGAACCAGGAGACTGGGAGTTCTAGTCCCGCCTTAGGCACGAAAGCCAGCTGGGTGACTTTGGGCCAATCACCAGGAGAATGGGAGTTCTAGTCCCGCCTTAGGCACGAAAGCCACCTGGGTGATTTTGGGCCAATCACCAGGAGACAGGGAGTTCTAGCCCCGCCTTCGGGGCCTCACCTTGGCCGCCTCCTTCAGCAGGGAGTTCCCAATCCGCATTCCTGGAAGGGAGAGAGTGGTGTGTGAACTCAGGCGCTGGGAGTTATTCAGCCCGGTTTCCAGATGAGGAGGTTGTGTGAATGCAGCCCAGTGTGGCTCCCTTGGCGAACCAGGGTCACGCCTGCTGCTGCGGCTGGGCAGGGAAGGGGAGCCCAGTCGGCCGGGGCGGTTTTGCAACCTCACCTCTGAATTCCGGCATGACGTAAAAATTGTCTATGTAGAGATTCCTTCCTTTCCAGCTGCTGTAGGTGTAGGAGGACAGGACATACCCAGCCAGGCTGCGACCTGTAGGGAGAGAAAAGAAGGAAGGAAGGAAGGAAGGAAGGAAGGAAGGAAGGAAGGAAGGAA